TCTTCATCTTCATCTTCATCTTCATCTTCATCTTCATCTTCATCTTCATCTTCATCTTCATCTTCATCTTCATCTTCATCTTCATCTTCATCTTCATCTTCATCTTCATCTTCATCTTCATCTTCATCTTCATCTTCATCTTCATCTTCATCTTCATCTTCATCTTCATCTTCATATTCATCTTCATCTTCATCTTCATCCTCATCTTCATCTTCATCTTCATCTTCATCTTCATATTCATCTTCATTTTCATATTCATCTTCATCTTCATCTTCATCTTTTCCTTTATCCTGATCTATATATTCATTCTTTTGTACATTTACGTATTTACCCCCACCATTGTTATTAGGTTATGTAGTTCAATTTTCCTTCCTCTTTGTCTTTATATTTAGGTTTCTTTACTTTTATTCTTTACCTTTATCCCTTTCTTCTTCTACATATTCAACTTTACCTTCTTCCTTCCATAAATCTTAATCTTATCGGAATTTTATCAATTTATATGAACGCCATTATTTTATATTTCATTATATAATATTAAAAATCTTGTTTATTTTGGTTCACTTTATGCCAAATGATGTTATCATTGATGCCACATCAAGTAATATCATGTCATGTGGTGAAATTGGGTGTGGTGAGTTGCGGTGTGGTGGAATTACGGTGTTATGAATTTAGGTGTGGTGGGCTTAAGAGGTGTGGTGAGTTTAGGTGCGGTGAATTTAGCTGTGGTGAGCTGAGGTGTGTTGAATTAAGGTGTGGTGAGTTAAGGTGTGGTGAGAAAGTTGAGGTGTGGTGAATTAAGGTGTGGTGAATTTAGGTGTGGGGAGTTATGGTGTGGTGAATTAATGTGTAGTGAGCTCAGGTGGAGTAAGTTTTTAAGCGGAGGTGAGATGAGTTGAGGTGAGTTAAGTTAAGTTAAGGGGTTATGATCTTTATCCTTATCTTCATCTTCATCTTCATCTTCATCTTCTTCCTCGTCTTGGTCTTCATCTTCTTCATCTTTATTTTTTCCTTTATCCTGATCTAAATATGTCCATTCTTTTCTTCATGTACATATTCACTCCCACCATTGTTATTAGGATAGGTATTTAAATTTTCCTTCCTCCACACTCAACTTCACCTTCTTCCTTATTTGAGTCTAATCTATTCATGTATGTACATACATTCATACATCTTATTCCTAAACTGCTGTTTCGCATGTTTCTTTAATTCACTATCAATATTAAAGCATACATTTAGGGGGCATTTCCGCCTCAACCATGTGCATGTATGGCATTAGTATTGGTGTGACTTTTGAATTGATTTTTTCGCACTATTTTAAACTTATTTGAAATTTTAAAAATTGCCTGCACATCAGCATCAAAATACCTTTCTAATGATATATAATTGTTTATACCTTAGAAGTATAGTTTAGCCGTAAAAGGGGTGTAAAGGAAACATGATTGCCTATTTATATAATTGATGATTATCCTTGCCGCACTCACTTGCTTTATTGAGCGCTTTTTTTCCGTAATAAATTCAGCAAAAACTAAGATTCGAAATAGGACGAGGTTGGATAGCCTTAATTCAATAGTTCGAATAAAGTGTTATATGAAGGCTAATAGTGTTTGCTGAAAAACGTTTCCAATATCAAACAGTATGTTATCAAGGTTGAATAGCTCAATATACGACAACAACAGGAATGTAAATCATTCAAACACTATAGGTGATTTTGAAGAAACTGTGGGTTAGCTTATCTCGCCTTATTATAGGGTTTTATTTAATTTTTAGCGCCGAGCTCTTAAAAGTGGATTGTGGGATTAATCAATTAATATGATTTATAATAAATTTAATAATTGCGCAGTCCTATTGCAAAATGTGTTGAAACAAATATTTTTAAAAAGTATGCGTATTTTTAATGAAAATTTTTTGTACATCACTATTATATAAGTGATTTGTGTTATCTATTAATACCATACCCTGAAGGTATTATATTCGTTTTTGGTTTTAAAAACTATATTATAACAAGATCTCATTTATAAAAGAACATATTTGTTAAATCGATTTTACGAGTTTTATTAAAAAAATTACGATTTTTTTCAGAAATTGCGTTTTTTTAGACAATCTAGCAACCCTAGCCTAAAATGTCGAGTGTGGAACAGCTCATCATAAGTCTTTTTGCGTGATTTCGCTTATGATAGAAAATTTAATATGCATATGTGATTGGAAATTAGTGAAGTGCATGTCGGAGTCTAAAATAATACATATAACTACCCTGCAGGGAAAGCCACTAGTTGTGAACTAGAATTATACCAGTTTGCGTTTCAGCCCAACTAGTTCACGTTCTATCCTTTTTCAATGTTAGCTACTGGTATTTTTAACATTGCTATGTCCTACGAGATGTCAATTGTCAGGCTATGCATCAGCATCTACTAGTAGAAATACCAGTAGCACCATATCAGTTGATGAGATAGTCTGCCAATTCATCTCCCGTGAAAAGCATAAGTATGCCTTTTTGCTCGCGGCGGTCCAACAGTGGCAATGGCCGACAGAGCAAAGCACTCGCGTGGTATGCCTGAGGTTTCAGGTTCAAGTCCTGGCGCAGTGAACATATAATATTTTATTTACTTTTGTATTTATTTTTGTTTAATAAATTTTTTTATTTAGGGTTATTATTGTAATTTTTAAATTTAATTTAAAAAATATATTTTTTTAATATCTTTTTTTTTATGACACAAGCATTTCTTTCCATACGTAGATATGTTTTTTTCTGCAATGCAATTAGATTTTCAAATTTGTTCTTCCTCAAACCTGCGATCTCAGAACTGGAACCAGTAGTCTTCACGTCACGCCATAGCAGACATTTGTAAGAAAAGCAATTAATTACGTTTTATTTTTGGCTTTGGCAATTCAAAGGCATATGTCGCTGAACGCTTAAATTCTTCGAAATTGTCGAACTGGTAGACACATACTGGTTAATGAACTAGAATTTTTTCTAACTGGTTTGGCTTTTCACTGCAGGGTAACTATAAGTATACATGTGTGTGCGTATGTACGTTTCTATGTACCTCCATAAGCTTTTCATTTTAAAATTTCTTAAATTTGTTTTATAATTGCAATTAATTAACATTACTTTAAAATAATGAATATTAGATAATTAATTCTTAACATTTCTCTCATTATAGCATCCACCACTGAGAAGCGTCTGCGCATTGCAGTTATTGGTAGTGTTACTGCCACACTACTACTACAATAAAAACTCAAAGTCGGCAACACCCACAAGCATATTACAAAAGTTAACTGAACTCATACCAAAAACGTTAAGTGAGAGTAGTTAAGAGAGCGCCGAACTATTGTTGCCAATGCGCATTACAGATACGAACAACATACACATATTTACATATCTACGTATTTAAGTATTTGACAACATACAGAAGTAAAACAAATAAGGATACCGACAGTTTTGGTAACGCAAGTTTTGAACATTTCACACGAAATAATCAACAAATTCGAAGCCAAATACAAAATTGGCCAATTTTTATCTGTAGGAGATCTTTCAACACAAAGCTTGAGTCAGAAAAAAGTCAAAATAGCCGCAATTGAGAGTGAACAAACAGCAAATGGCGGTGAGATGGCTTTCTCCCGCCACAACATCGAAAAAAGGCGCCTCATCGAATTGGTGCGGCTGAATTCGATACTCTGGGATTGTCGTTTGCCCCATTACAAGCGTTCTGACAAGAAGAAGGCCCTTAAATGGAACGAGTTAGGACGCGTTTTCGGCGTGAGTGGTGAGCGAGTGCAACGTACTTTCACATCCTTGCGTGAAATATTTCGGCGTGAGTTGAATCATGAAAAAATGCTGGGTGTGCGCTTCAAGTCCAAGTGGGAATACTACGATGCAATGGCTTTTCTAAAGGAAGTTATTAGAGAGCGAAAGTGAGTAGAAATTTCAGAATATTAAATTAACAATTTAACAAGCATTGCTTTTCTTAAGGTCTCGCGAGCGGAATAAAACATCCGCCGATGCTAATTTACCACAGCAACAACAACAACACAGCAATAACAATAGCAGCGCTATCGATGAATATCAATATTTCGCACCCAATGATCCCAACAATCCAAATAATCAACCGCAAATACAGATATCCGAACAACAGCAAGTGCAGCCTGCCTATCCGCCATTGCAACAGCAGCAGCAGCAACAACAAGTGGGCACCTTGCCTTTGCCATCACAGCAGCATCTTCCACAGTTACCACCGTCCAATGTACCACAACCGACACATGCACAACAAAATTCAACTGCAACAGGTCCGCTTGACACACAACAGCAACAGCATCTGCCGCAGTCAATGCTAAGTATGCAACCGGATGTGGTCCTAGGCTTAAACGGTAATGCGACCGCAACCCTTCACAATCTTGGCAATGGTAACGGTACATTAGCTGGCAATTCCAGACCACCTTCACAACAACAACAACAACAATTACCGCCGCAACAGCCTCAGCGGCATCAATTTCCTCCACCTGGCAACCAAGCTCTAGTGGCCATTTCCAGTTCGCGATCTTCATCTAGCTCACCGTCAATTTACATAAAAGAGGAGCCCGATTCGCCGGACACACTCTCTCTTACCACCATAACAATCAACGAGCACGATTCGTCGTACTTGGCCCGACATGCCGAGACAAAAAACAAAAATGCTCAAAGTGTCAACTCACATGTCAAAGGTAGTATGCCAATCGGTAATAGTAAAAACAATGGTGCAATACGTAAATCGAAATCGCACATAGACCCCTCGTCAGCGAGTTTGATCATTGACGAGGACTTTGCTGGGCACGACGCCGATTTGGATGATCTCGATGATCCTGATGTGGATATGCTGGACGATGGACGTCTTTCGCCAGCGAGCACCTACACCCTAGGCATGGCGTCGAAGCCAAATCGTCTTACGGCACGTGAAATACTCTATACCAAATTTGGGGACTTCTTGGCCGCACGCCTGAATACGCTTAATGAGACTGTGGCTAACGATTTAATGAATCGCATACTACTCCTGATCGCTGAAAAGTAATGGAATAGCTGTCACAGCGTTATTCTACTCAGCAGATTTCTATATTCTCGTTTTGTGTGTTAATGACAGGCATATCTAGATACTAAATTACACATTTTAGGGTCCAACATATCTCTTTAAAATAATTTTAGGAAGCCGGATAACTCTGTGGAATAGTCATTTTAGGGCTTCAACAGAATATTGCCCAATTGGTAGCATTATACTACTATATATATATATATACATTATATTGCATGTGTGTGAGGGAAATTTATCCTGCATGAGTCTGAAATAAAACTAAAAGTCATATCAACTTGCCATATGTATGAAAATAATAAATACGCAGGTATGTTTTTCGCTTATGTCCGTAAGTATGTATGTATATTAGAGTAGTCCAAGTTTTGTTTTTGGGCGAAAAGATGACATACAGTAAACGGGGCACCCTTCAGTTCAGTGTTGTATTGTAACCAATACAAGGTGCCCAATGACCTTGAAATATGCTTCTGAATCCCTGTGAAACTTTGCGAAACTATTGGTGACTTTTCATAAAAAGTGACTGTCGTCATAACCACTGAACTTGTAATATTTTAATAGCTGATTTTAATTTGAAATGCTCTTAGGTTGCTTAACTAATTTTTCGGTTAATATATGTATGTACAATATACTTCTATGTAGAGTAAAATATAAACATTACATGAACATCCTCTAAATGTGTACTTAGAAACGTTAAGTTTGGTGCTAGCATAGGGCTGACATAAGCCTGAACCAATCGACCAGGACACGTGAATACGGTGAAAACATTTGATTTGGTTCTGGCGTTGTATTATTTTGAAATAATTTCTAAAATTATAAGCAATGTAGTTTGTGGCACAATCCGTCGAGTTTAAAAATATTTGGCGCCTTTAACGTGGCCTTGAATGCTTGCCTTACCAACATTAGCAAATTTCCACATATCCTATAATGTGCTTCATGATCATTTTATTCAATTTGGATATGCATAACTACAAGATAATTTAGGTAGGCTAACTTAAGTGCTGGCATTCTAAAAGACTTACCCAGTAAGGGCTGAAAAAAGTGCTTCCCTGCATGCCTCCTGGAAAAGGTTTTCCTGTTTATAATTTACACGAATGTATATGTTTATATAGCTTAGCATTACAAATGAAATTCAGTAAGCATTTTAAGACTCAATGAAATATACATACATATTTGATACCAGATCGCCATAACCCGCTTCGCTGAGGTCGCTTAGGTGTCATTCAATAAACTATGCCAAAAACAGGAGATTTAAAAATGTTTAACCATCTTCAAAATCAAATCCTCTCTCTTGTGTTACTTTTTCAATTATTAGATTAAAACAGGGGACAACCTCTTTACATGGAGCTCAGAAATGAATCCCTTTCAAAACCATTTCGATTGATACTCATATTGTAATACTCATTGAAATTCTTGAATAACTAGTTTGAATTAAACTTTCTAAACAGTTGGCAACCTTTTTAAACCTCTTTAGACACATGATTCAATAATTAAAGGTTTACTCATAAGTGACATTAGAGTTTTGACACTCCCTTAGCTCCCTTATAAAAGCTTTGCACACACACACGAACCCACACACAGTTCCTTGCTAAGGGAGCCGATTTTGTCAAGAGGGAGCGAGAAAACTGTTTTTTGAGCAAACCTTTTATTATTGAATCATGCTTTAGACAGACACTCATATTGTGATACATATATAATTCAAGTTGAATATGTAGAAACCCTGCTTTAACACATGTAGCTTAGAAATAAAGCCTTTTCAAAACTTTCGATTAATATTTATACTATAATAATTCATTTAACTTATAATATAATTGTATTTGAATTTAGTTTAAGAACCTCAGAAGATTCATGTTCAAGATACATGTTCTAGCTGAACATTTCTAAACACTCTTACGTTTGACACTTTAATTTAAGTATAATTAATTTAAATTCAATTTTTATATAGGTGGCAACCCTCTAAAACATATTTTCGAACTAGAACCTTATTAAACCCCTTTGGTCTGAAACCCATATTTATCCAATTATCTAATTCCCTTAATTCAAGTAGAATTTGATTTTTCAAATAGGTGGCAACCATCCTGTATGTAGTTTAGAAACAAAACCCTTTTCGAACACATTTCGGTCGACGCTAATATTGTAGTCATTCATTTAAATTAATTCAATTCCATTTATAATTGGGTGTCGACCTTAGTAAAACCTTTCAATAATATTATAAATGCTCAATCTGCAGGTTTATTAATATTTCGTTTGACGTCAATATATTAATTTTTCAGATAGCTTGCGGATAATTAATTTAAGTTTGACTCTTCAAACAGGTGGCAACCCGTTTCAAAACATATTCAAAGTACTACTTTTTTTAAGCCTTTTGACATCAATTCTTTAATACAATTTTCAAATTAATAATCCCTTTAATGCAAGTTGAATTTGATCTTTTAAACACTCCACTCCTACTCCTTGAGCGTGGAATTAATTTCATATATCTCCATACCAAGTTCCAGTACTCTGTCACAAATATTTCCTGGGATATGCCTTTATGAAAAATTTCGATTGTATGAGAGGCGCCTCGCCCCCTTGTAAAAGCGACTTTACATCTAAATTTGTATACTTTAGGTTGGGCTAAATGACACCAGTAAAAAAAATCTCATGACAACACCGTGCGACAAAAACCAAAAATTTTTAAAACACACGAAAAAATCAATATATTCACAAAACTAAGAGCCAAATATGGTATAACTACGTTTTTAATTTTTTCCTCTGACGTCAGTACTTTTTGTAAAGGACTTTGAAATTTCTGGGATATGATTGAATAAAAAAATTATTTAAAAGATTTGGTGCATTGTAGAGTAACAGTACGGGTATCAATTAAAAGGAAAAATTCTGTAGAATTAAAAAAATATTAATTTTTTGGTGCACCAGGACGAATAAAATGTCCTTTGGAATATCCTTGGAAACTTCCAATATTTATTTTTGAAAAAAATGTATATCAAGGACTATTATGTAAACTACCACATCCTCGAATCTCGTCCTTCTACCTTTATTAGTTTTAGATAAAAAGACTTTACATTTCTCTTATAAGATATTGATAATTACAATATACATAAATGAAGATACTGGAACCATTACGCTGTACAGCACTCGGGTGGGTATTGGACCAAACCAATTTTTTAAGAGAGTCATAAGTAAAAAAGTAATTTCTCCATTTTTCGAAATTAGCCTTCGCAGTTCCAAAGAGGGCCTTTGTAAGTTAGCGCTAGCTGCAGGGGCCATCGGCTAGTCGAAAAATTAATAACCTTATATTTCAAAGAATTTTGAACCGATTTTTTAGTTTGGTTTCATTGTAAACGTGATTAAACCCCTTTTCTTCTGATATGCATATTTGTATACTTCGTACGTAACAATTTGAGAAAAAACATTTAAAAGCAAAAAATACCTTTTCCTATGAAGAAAAAAAATATTTTAATCCAAAAAAATTGATATCGTTGTAAACGCAATCAAACCTCCTTTCTTCTGATATGCGTAAAAATTTGACAAAAAAACACTTAAAAGGCAAAAATAATAAACGGATTTTTAAAAAGTTGGTACCGTTGTAAAGACGATTAAACCCTTTTTCATTTGGTATGCATCAGTGGCGTAGCCAGGATTTGGCAAAGGGGGGATATTAAAAAAAATTTGCATCGATAACTTAAAGTTGTGATACACAATGGCTAGAGGCGTCGCACTATAGGCAAAACACGAGTTTTTTTTCAAAATCGTAGATCTTCGCTTAGAAAAGAGATAGTGGAATGAAAATGTTTTTATCGTGAAGATAAATGATCATATAATATAGGAAAATTATAGAGAAGTTACAACAACAATAACTTAACCCTCAAAATATCGTTGAAAATGTCACTTTTTTTAATTTTGGATTTTGGCTCCCATTCCACTAGAAAACCAAGAATGATAGAATACAAGATTGCGCCGATTGCGGCAGAATTCGT